TCTGGCCATTTGGGGACCCAGTTTTGTCTCCCCTCCACTCTCCAGTTGCTCCCTTCCTACCCATAGTTTAGAGTCCAGCTCAGATGCTGCCTCTTCCAGGAAGCATGGCCGACTGGGTAAAACCAGCCTTTGGGCCAAGCCTGGCACCGGATGGTGGCTCTGGGCGTGCTAGCCGAGTGATTTGGGCCAAGTGATTTGTCACCTAAGTTCTCTCAGGCTTCGTCCCCTTGGCTGTAACTAGCGGTTGAATTGATTCAGCCGTGCTGATGGACCAGAGAGTGAGGGTGGCCATTCAAACTGCAGATGTCTGCTGTGTGCTGGGGATGGTAGAAAACAGTAATGCAAGGTTTCACCCCTACGGAGCTTTATCTTTTATTCCGAGGGCCCGACAATAAAGTAACCAAAACATATTGTACATAGTCATGGCTTCTTGAGGGCGGACAGTGTGCTGTCTCAATTCCGCATGGTGGATTTGCTCCTAGTAGCTGTCAGCCGAAGACCCCCGTGGGTCCGCACATGCTGACCTCGCATCGCACGGGGCTGGCCTCTGGGGAGGAACCCCAAGTGGTGCAGAGTGTTTAGCACTAGGGACCTTACCAAAAGGGTGGTGGGTCAAACCCGTTCATGGTGGTCGGGCCTGGCGAGCTGCTTCCAAAATGTCACAGCCCTGAAACCCCCCGGGACCAGCTCTGCTCTGTACACGTGGGCTCGCTGGACTCCACAGCCACTGAGCATCTGATGACTCCGTGCTTCCCTTGACCTTTCGCCCATCCCGCCCTGCGCCCACTCACAGCATAGCCTTTGCTGTGAGGGGCCCTCAAGTGGGTGCTAAAGCCCAGGAGCTCTGTACAACAGAACGAGATGCCCCTCGACCCTGGGCCCCCCCACAGTTGTTCCTGCATTTGAGCCCATTGTTCCAGCCTTTTCCTGAGACTGATCCCTATTGATAACATGTCCAAAGGACGTGAGTGAGACACAGTGTTGCCACCCTCAATTCTAAGGAGCATTCTGGCTGTACTTCTTCCGAGACAGATATGTTTGTTCTTCCGGCAGTGCAGGGTACTTTGCATATTTTTCGCCAGCACCACAATTCAAATGCATCTGCTCTCCTTGGTCCTTTGCTTGCTCAGTACTCCACTTTCACAGGCCTCCGTGGTGATTGAAAATACCCAAGTGGATCGGGCCAGGCACACTTTGGTCCTCAAAGCAACATCTCGCTACTGAGCGCTTTAAAGAGGTCTTGTGCCGCAGATTTACCCAGGGCAGTGAATGTGCCATTTGATCTCTTGACTGAGCACTGACTGAATCCAAGCAAGACGAAGTCCTCAGCAACTCATTAGTGAGCCACAGCACAGCTTAACGCCGCGGTTCTCAACCTTCCTCGTCTGTGACCCTTCCATCCAGTTCCTCATGTTGTGGTGACCCCCAACCATAGCATTATTTTCGTTGCTACTTCATCACTGTCATTTTGCTCCTGTGATGACTTGGGTGACCCCTGTGAAAGAAAGGGTCGTTCCACCCCCAAACGGGTCACGACCCAAAAGTTGAGAACCGCTGTCTTAATAGGTCTTTCATGGAGGTGGTAAGGACAGGCTGTGTTTGACACCCACAGCTAACAACTTAAAGCGTACATCAGGCATTTCTAAGTCCCTCCCGGCCCCTCTACTGCACAGCCCCCACATGTTTGGGTCCCCAGCTCCCAACTTTAGATTCTTTCCAATTCCTTCTTTGAATTTGACTTTTTCTCAATTTGACTATCTTCATGCCTAACTGGCCTTTCCCAGCCCATCAAACTAAATAGCCCCTCGAACTCCGGCTTCACAGCAAAGTGAAGCAAAGCTAAAGCTCTCGTTTCAGCGTCCTACCGTTGCTGGAGTTCCGTACAATTCTCTAGGTGTTCTCACCCTGATTTTGTACCGAACCTTCTTGCATGGCCTTCCGGTGTCACAGTGCCCTGGGCACTCAGTCGTCAGCTCTCTCCACTCTCACTAGGTGACCTCACCCCCAGGCTTTAAATGTCATTCAGATCCCTGTTCAAATGCCACTTCCTCTGAGACCTTCCTTGACAACCATATCTAAAATAGCACACACTCCTACGTGTGCACGCACGCACACACGCACAGCCCTCAGCCTGCTTGCTTTGTCTTCCTAGCCTTTGGGTTGTTATTTCTTATTTATTGTCTGTCTCTGTAGTAAGGGGCTTGGCCCTGTTCATGCCTTCTCAGTACGTAGAACACTGCCTGGCACAATGAAGGTAATCAGTGAGTATTTGTTGAATCAATGCATTTTCTCTGCAGAAATGCTGTGTCCTAGCCAGAAAGACAGTCAGCATTAGCCTCAGTTTATAGAGGAGGAAATTGGCCTCCCCTCAAGTCATGGGGCAAGGAAGCTAGAGTGAGCCTGTTGCGAGCCAGGCCTGGTGGGACTCGCCTCAAGAGAGTGGCCTCTGCCTTGCTCACTGCGGCTGGGGACGCCAGGTGGCCCGAAGGCTGCTGCACACACACTCAGGCAGGCACGCACTGAATCCTGACAGCACCTGCTCTTCCCAAACCACACTGTTGTTTTTCCAGTTTTTCACAGGCGCAACATCCAGGTGCGGGGACCCCGGGGACATTCCTTTCCTCATTTTACTTCCACAGCGCAGAGGCCCCAGTTGCAAAAAGGAAGGACCAAATGTGAATGCATTTTAAAAATAAACAAACCAAAAGGAAAAAAAAAAACCCAAAGCGGCCCCAGCGTTACCTGGTTTTAGAAATCCCCGTGGCTGCCCGCGTCCCCCTGGGTCATCATGGCGATTTAGTAATAGAGCCCCGTGGAAGGACGGGGACTTTGGTGTCTGAGTACAAGGCAATCCTCGATGGAGCTGCGGGGGGGCCTTCTGAGGGGAGAGTGACTGGCCTCCCTCGAGAGTCCGATTCCTATGGTGTTACCTCGGCTGGGGGCACAGGCACGTGTGGAGGACGGCAGAGGCTGACGGATGCCAAGTGCCCTGTGGGGACCTTCAGGATGGAAACATCTTCCCCCAAGAGCCCAGCTGCTTCCCACTCCAGTGCAGGCTTCTTAGAGCCTCAAGAAAAGTGACTCCCAGGAGTTTCCAAGTCCGCTGCCAGCACAGACACTGTGCCCCACACCCCGCATGGTCCCCCATGTCATCATGAGGGAGACAAGGGGCCCTTTAACATGTGCAGATGTCTGCCTTTCTGCCTTCGCTTTTCCACCTGACAATTCTCTTTCTGGGTGGCTCTCCTTAATAAAGTACAACTCTGGCCAGGCCTCCTCCCTCCTCAGAAACCTTCAGTGGGAACCAGAATATACGCTTCTGAGTCTGGCATTCAAGGTCATTCCCCACATGCTTACAGGACCACTGTGTACAGGAAGACAGGGTTCCAGGGCTCCAGGGTTCCAAACTCTGAGACCAGCTTGGAAGGGAGCTGAGAGGTGACCTCAGCTCTGGAGGAAGCGGAGGAAAGCCGCTGCCGACCAGCCCTGCTTGACAATCGCAGGGCGCCCAGGGCTTGATGAACCTGCCCTTTTGAGTTTCACGTGGTCTGTCAGGACTGGTTAGGATATTAACAAATCGTCCCCAAATCCTTAGTGCCTTAACCCAAAACAAAGGTGTATTTTTTTCACCGATGGTGAAAATTGGGGTTGGCCAGGGTACTCTGGGTACCCTAAAGCGTCACTCAGGGCCCCAGGCTAACAGCAGCTGCCTTCCTCACTGTTGCCAGGTGCTGTACCAGCTGGAGAGATCGCTCAGGGCTGGTCTCACCAACAGATCACATGCTCTAGTCGACGAGGCACACATCTCTTCTCAACACCCATTGGCTAGTATGAGTCACGTGACCCTGCCCAAGTACAGAAGGAATCAGGAAGTGCAATCCTGCCACGTGCCAGAGGAGGGGAAACTGGACATAGTTGGGGAGGACACACTATTTGCCGACACAGTCGATCCTGGCACGGTAGATCCTCTTATCTGCACAGCCACCGGTGCTTGCCAAATGTAACAGCAGAAAACAGAGTTCCGTTTAAGTGAGCAACAAAAACATTTCAAACCTCATACAAAATATGAAGGGAAAAAAGGTACTAAGGGGCAGAGTAGCATCCCCTCAGTAAGTGGAGATGTTGTGATATGCTGTAGAAAACCAACCAGAGGGAGGGGAACATATCCTGCCCACCAAGCCCCCAAAACGATATTCCTGCCCAGAGCAGACAATGCACAGAAAGGACCACAGGTCTGGCCCCACTATGAGACACAACTGAACCACAGCGCTACAGGGGACAACACTGCAGACACAGTGTGGGAATTGTGCCCAATCTGACCCCATCACACTGGGGTGAAACAGTAAGCGCATGCAACAGAGCAGTAAGGGGAACAAAGCAACGAAGTCCCCAGGGAATACCAAAAATAGATTTTGGGGACAGAGTGTGGCACCCCTTCAGACTCGACTGGAAAACACTCGTAAAGGTCAAAAAAGAAAATGGTTTAAAAAGAAAAAGAAAACCAGCCAGAACCATACCTCACCATTCCCAGATGAGCTGAAAGACAACAACAGAATAATGTAAGGCATGATAGAGTGACATATTTTAGAATCAGAAAATCTCAGCAATAGAGTGGCAGAATGACGGAAGGAAGTAAAAGTCGTTTTAGAAACAGATACTAAAGTAGAAGGAACACTGCACTGTTCCCTGCAAAGGTTTGGAAACAAAAGCCGGCCCTGAAACAACCAGCATCTCTTATTCCCAGATTCTGATCCTGAAACAATTTCCATCCAAAGAAATCGGATAAAAATATACTCTGTTGGAGGGCGGAGGGGGGTGGGGAGAGGAGCTGATAGCAAGGGCTCAATAGAAAGTAAATGTCTAGGAAAGAATGATGGCAACATATGTACAAACATGCCTGATGCAATTGATGTATGGATTGTTATGAGTTGTAAGAGCTCCCAATAAAGTTATCTTTTAATTTAAAAAAAGAAAACATAGACATAGTCTTAGTGATTTTTTTTAATATGGAACGCTTCACGAATTTGCGTGTCATCCTTGCACAGGAGCCATGCTATTCTTCTCTATCGTGCCAATTCTAGTATCTGTGCCACCGAAGCAAGCACAGTCTTACTAATTTTTGACAAGAGTACAAAGCTCTCTGGAGAAGTGGAGAAAGGCAGACTCTTTCCACTAGAGGTCTTGGGATGATTGGGCGTCCAAAGCCAAAACCCCAACCCTGCACCCAAACCTGTGCCTTCACCAAAAAGGAACTTAAAGTGAAGCATAGACTTAGATGTAAGCCTAAACTGGAAAATAAAAATTTTCAGAATCTAGTTAGGCAAAGTTTTCATATTTGACGCCAAGCATAATTCTTAAAACATTGATCAATTTAACACCGCACAGGTAAAGCTGTTGATGGCCATCGGTCTGTGTGAAACGGTTCGGCGTGGTGACGAAAGGACCACTGGCACTGACAGTGTCTCCGCCTGTGGTTGTGGACAGACCTGCGCTGGGGCGAAATTGTAAAGGACTCGATACACACACACATTCACGAGTGAATGGACGCAAAACTGAGGAAGTCTGAGGAGTTGGCGGATTAGGTCAGTGCAATGGTTGTGATCTTACAGTTTTGCAAAAGGTTTCCTTTGAGGGAGACTAGGCAGAGCGTACCAGGGTTCGCTGTTATTTCTTATAATTGCATGTGAATCTACAATCTTCTTAATCAAAATGTCAATTGAAATTTGTGGAACTTGTTAGCAAAATGTCTCATAATCCTGTCAATAACCCTGTCGAACCAGGAACATCTTGGCCTTCCAGTTAGAAAGGAAGCTATGCGCGAGAACGGGGGTCATATCTAAAGGACTGACGGACCAACTGGAGGCCAAAGATTGTCCAATTTGAGCTTCAATAAGAATAGGAATTTCAAAGCATGAAAACTCACCAAATATGTTTAAACTCATGAGTTCATACTGATAAGTAAAACCCAGAGGCATGCATTCATTAGTCACCTTCAGAGAATAACAGGGAGCCTATTCATTATCGTGGACACTGGAAAACAAAGACGCCAGCAGGCCTTTGCTCTTACGTATTGTACCACTAGGTAACCCGAATGGTAGAAAAAAGAGAAGCAGCTCTCTACAATTATTTCAGCTACTACATCCAAACCAATTGATAGTTAGATATCACCATCTTGGTGCATAAACAGATCTAAGCAGTGACCGACAATGGCCCCTAACATCACAAAAGGAACAACCAGACATGCACTAACTTCCTGATGAGAAAGACACACAGTACCACCGCAGCCTGCTGAAAGAACCCGTCTAGCCCAGTGACCAGTAACAAGTGGCATAGGAACAGACCAGGCGCGCCCAGGAACATGCAGTCAGCAAAATTTGGACCGAGAGACTCTGGTCAAGTAGTTGAGGTTTGTCAACAACTGTCAATGTGAAGAGGAGAAAATGGATGGCGGGAGCACAGCTCAATCTAAGCAGAAGGAGCATGAGAAGTCACACCAAGCTCACTCCCAAGGACAAACCTAAAGTGACTTAATGTCTACGAATGTGTCCTAAAGCCGTACAGAAGTGCAAGAAGTGGAAACTCCAGAAACCATAATTCTGCGGACCTTCTGAGGGAGGATTGCAGTGGACATGTCTCCAAGTGCCTTGCGGGTGGCTGGCCGAATTCTGTCTCTCGGTGACAGTTGATAAGGTTGCTTGCTGACAACATTTCTCTGGACTATACATTTGTTTTGTACTCTTTTTTTCCTGTTTTTAAAATCCTAGGAAAGAGCTGTTGTCAGAGGAGGGAGTTCCAAGGAGGAAAAATCAGGAAAGCCCCCTGGAAGCAGTCTCTCGGGGCGGGTGTGGGTGAAGTGGGGCAAGTGTCGGCGATGAAGGTAGAGCAGTGGACATGCAGTCTGCTCACCACGCTGTATCCTGGAAGCCATGGGGAGCCACAGAGGCAAGTGACACGGTCCAGTTTATGTTTTTGATCCCCCTGGCAGCTGTTTGTCAGCTTGGAGTGCAACTCGTTCCAGGGAGACAAGAGTCATCCCAACTAAAGAGGGTGAGCCCAGAACTCGTGCGTGCTTGGAGGGGTCGAGAGAGAGTGCTCCAGGAGGCAGCCGCCCGGGACTTTCCAGACTTAGAGGGAGGAAAAAACATTTGGTGCCGTCCCTAGTTATTGATTGGGCCAGATGTGTAAAAGAGACAGCACTATTTTTCAGGGCATGGGATACAGGTGGTAGAGCAGAGGTGGAGGGAGATGGTAAGGTAATTTTTCAATTGAGATGACATTAATATATATATGCAGAAACTTACATTCCAGTGGTTTTTGACAGGTGTATGTGTACACCCATTTAAAATATCAATCAAAAGACACCTCCCCCAAAAAAAGTTTCCTTGTGACTCATTAAAGTCAGTCTCACCCACATTAGAAAACATGGTTCCGATTTTTGTCACCAGACACTAATTGTCTGTTTTTAAGCTTCACCCTTCTAGAACCACACAATATGCCATCTCCTGTGTCTGGCTTCCTCCACTCAGTGTGTTTATTTTTCAGTTTGTGTGGCAGTGCTAACCGCCTCTGACATCACAAAGGGAACTGAAATCACCATCCTCCTCAGCCCAAATCCGAGGACTGAAGCGAAGGTCAGCCAGACCTTTCACCAATTCTGACACCACTTGTCCATCTCTGGCACTCAGCACTTCTCTGCTGAGTTTAATAATTCATTGCAGTGGCCCCACAAAACATAGACAATACTAATGAATATGAGATTGTTTAGGGGAGTAACAGGTCACAATTCAGGATCAGGAATAGCTCAGGATACAGTTCTTGGGTCAGGACAGATTCTTGGCCATGCCCATAGGCAAACCTCTCCTTGGCCCTTGACCTCTAGGCTCCTTGGGCCTCTTGGGTCAGGCCAACCTCAGCCCTACTTGGGCAAATGTTACAAAGCTCTTTAATTCTGTTTATAAATGCCTAGAGGCACCCACTCTGCCAGTAAACCTCTTGGAGTTAGGTGCTCGGCTTTTTAAAACTGTTTTATTAGGGGTTCATATAACTCATCACAATCCATACACACATCAATTGTGTAAAGCACATTCGTACATTCATTGCCCTCATCATTCTCAAAA